AGGAACTTCCCAGATGAGGTGTCCTCCTGATTTTTATCCGCCACACGTGGGCGTGGGACCAGCCCGTCCCCTCCACCCTCCTCCCAGTCTCGGTGTGGCTGCTGCTTTAATTCCGTAGCTGTAGGACTGCCATTCAGCTGGTGTCGGGCAGTTCTGAATGATGGTGTGTTGTAGTTTAGTTGTAAGTTTGATGTGGTTGTGGGTGGAGGCAGTACCACGGTTACCTACACCACTGTCTTGACCAGACAGGATTTTCTTTTTGTTAAGGTCTCTCGCTAACATCAATATAGAAAAAAAAAAAAATTAAAAATAAAAATAAGTGAGAATGAAGGGCAAATTAAAAATAGAAATTTTTTGATACACAGAAATAAAGGGAATTTGTAAAGAACACTCTCCTGAAAGAATGAAAATTATCCCAGAAGTAGTTTGAGACGCAAGAGGTGAACAAAGACATGTAGGCAAATCTAATTCAACATTGGTATATGTAAGAAAAAGATATAATTGATAAGGTGATCAGAACAAAAACACTAAATTACAATGTAAATTAGGATAGGGATTTGATAGGAGTTAAACCAGTCTAAGATGCTTGTGTCAATCAAGAGAAAAGTAAAGATGTTAACTTTCTTCAGACTTCTAAAATTTTATATGTATGGGGACACTGTACCCTAATTGAGGGCAGATTTTTGAATAAAGATGGAGAATTAAACACATGCCTCTACTTAACCCCCAAAAAAACGCATTACAATGACAGTAAATGGATTGTTTTTAAGGACTTCTGATACAAGGACATTTATAACAGGGTAGAACAACACCAAGTTTTTGGAAACGGGCAAGCAGATGGATGAAAGTTTACTGACGGCACGTAAGAAAGATGAATTCTAAGCCAGCAAGTGTCCAAGGGAATCTTCAAAGAGTTTCAGGATTTGGTGGCATCAGGCACATTTGAGAATGGAATGATGGTGGGGCTAAAAACAGGGTGATTGGTTCAAAGTTAGTTTAAAAAGAAGTTAAACACCGAGATCCCACATTTACCCCTCTGCAAGATGGCATAAGACTGGATGGGACAAAGAGGTCTTTGGACAGGAGCTATCAAGCAGGCTTCGGGTGGGGATGCTCTTGTATATACAGGGATTAATATACTGAAGTCAGTGCTCCAGCACTCTGCCAGCCATTCTTCTAGAAAGCTGGCCACCCTGTGTTTATGCCTGAATGCTGGACTTCTCAAAAAGTGATTTTATTGGGCGTCTCCCCAAACTGACCCAATCTGAGACCACAATTGAAAAGTATCACCTACACAATTCAGAACTTTCAACATGCTTCCAATATACTTCTTATTTTCTGCCCTATTTTAACCTTTAAGCAGAGAACCACGAATTAGCAGAAACTGGAGGGAAGCAACTGGTATGAAATGACAGAGATTCAAAGAAGAAAGCAACTAGAAGAAACAGATTATTCTTGGATAAGAGTATTTTAAAAGGCCATTGTTAAAATCATCAATTTTGGGCTATATAAACTTATCACTTTTGTGTATTCATTTTGGAATCTGCATTATTAAGAATCTAAAAAAATTCTGGGTCACTGGCTAAAGGCTGATTTATAAATGCTATATACCTGCCATACACCAAAAATGTATGTTCATCTGCTTAGGGGTAAAAAGAGGACTTGGAGGGTATTAACCCATAAAACCAATGTTCTTATTAATATAAATAGAACACACTTGTGAGAAACCTTCATTTCTTGTTAACACCACTATCATTTTCTAGAAAATATGAAAATTTTTCATGTCAAGTATGACGGAAAGTTTCTTGCTTGATATACCGTCATACTCCAGGCTGAGAAGAGTGGAAAAATCTTTTAATTCTTAAGTGTAAGTCAACTTCTGCATGTGATCATATAATTTGAATCATCTGTGGGTGTGTTGAAAAATCCATTACTGCTGAGAAATCTTTGGAAGTACAGATGCTGTATTACCCTCAGAGTTATGTTTCTATAATTATCACCTTCTTGATGGGCTAGGAATCACCTTTCTGTTGGTTTAGAGGCTATATAATGTGGAGCGCTTGGTGTTTTAAGAAGATAGGGCAATTCATTTAATGTCTGTGTGATATTTGTTAGCTTGGTTTGAGGATACCAAACAATCAATAATGTATGTTCCAGAATAATTGAAATTACTTCATTACAATTTCCAAGAGACATGATTTCTAAGCTGGTAATAGCTACAAAAGCTTTTTAAGGTGACATTAAGAAGTTTCAGATAACTGCCTAATTTTAGCTACTGCCTACATGAAGTAACTAATCACAAATTAAAGTCCAAAGATGACTTCATGAAACTAATTTGTGTTCGGTAATCTGAAGAAGTATAAAACATTAATTTTGTGAAATTTACATTTTAAAAGTACATTCTAAAAGGATAAATTAAGATGTAATAATTTGTGAGTTAATGCATGGATATTTAAATACTTTTTATAACACACGTCGATATATTAATAAAGGAGTGGGCAAAAGTAGGTTTATAGTTGTCAAAACACAGTTTATTCTTGTATTATTATTTTATTAATTATTGTATTTTCCATAAGAACAACTGTAAACCTACCTTTGCCCATCCCGTATATGAATTTAATATATTCAATTCAACAAATACTAGAGAATTTACTACAATGAGCTGTGCTTCAAAGCATGACAAAGAAAAATGATGTGCCTTTTTGGCCTTCTACAAATATTCAGAGTAAGAGAAGTGATTGAGAGCTATGAAAATGCTTACTACAGAAGAAAGCAAAAGGCAAAAGGAACTGTGTGTGTGTGTGTGTGTGTGTGTGTGTGTGTGTGTGTTTTCAAGTACCGGAAGAAGGGATTAAGATGAAAATTCTTTTTTTTCTTTTCTTTTTTTTTTTTTTTTTGGTATGTGCCCCTAGCGGAAACCGAACCGGGGACTCTCTGGTCCATAGGCTGACGCTCCAACCACTGAGCCAAACTGACCAGGGCAAGATGAAAACTCTTTTATTTTTTTTTTTATTTTTATTTATTTATTTTTTAAATCCTCACCCGAGCGGATTTTCAGATAGAGCCGAAGGGAGGAAGAGAGCAGAGAGAGAAACATCCATGTAAGAGAGACACACAGACTGGCTGCCTCCCACCGGAGGGGCGGGGGATGAACTGCAACCGGGGTACTGCCCTTGGCGGGAATGGAACCTGGGACTCTTTGGTCCACGGGCTGACGCTGTGACCGCTGAGCCAAATCAGCCAGGGCGAAAATTCTTTTCCATAATTTCTGAATATTTCCTCCAGTAAATGGTTGAGATAATCCCTGAAGGGTGGGTTTAATTTCTTCCCAATGGAGAAGACACACAGAGTAGGAGCTTTATAACAAGTGTGTGCTACTTTGAAGTGATTAATACTAGAAAAGTTTTCCCAAAACTGTCTGAAACAGATATGAACAACTTTAATGCTTAATCTCTAATTTCATAAAGTATAATGTGATGAGTAAAAGTTCGAGTTACAAATATTTAATACATGCGATTGTATCCAGTAGAATTCCTGGTCCCTCAGTTAATAGGAAGTCCCTAGCGGTTACTCTGGACTCTCCTTCGATCAGCGGCATTCCGCTGCAGAGAAGTTACATCAGGACCTCTGGAGGGCTGCTCAGGCATTGTTTTTCTGTAAAAGTTCTCCAGATAATTATAATGTGCAGCCAGGGCTGCAAACCACTAGGCTAAATTGCAGTTGGGTAATTTTGGTCTTCCTGATAGCTGACTTCTCTTTTCTGGTTCAATAAATAAGATTTTCCAATATTATCTTATTAGCTTCCATTTTACTAAGTATTTACTGTTGTGCCAGGCACGGTCCCAAATTTTTTTTTTTTTGCATTATCTCATCTGATTTTCATAGCTACCCCTGAGGAAGGAGCTAACTCTAAGTAACTTGCCCAGTTACTGTCCCATTTCCGAACCCAAGGGATTACCCAGAGCGCCACACTGCTTCTCTCCTCTCATTCATTCCTGATATGGAACTGTTGGGAACACCAGTATCTCCGCAGCTATAAATAATCGTTATCTGAAAAGGGCAACTGAGAACAAGCGGCAAAATGACACAAGAACACGTATGGAGGACACCGGGAGGCAGAAGTGACAATGCAGGGGTCACCCGGCGACTCAAGATGTCTAACTGCCCGGGCCTCCGAATCTCCGTCCCCAAGCCTTTAACCATCCTTACTTAGCCCTACTTTTCAAGCTCTCTGATCTTTGTTGGCTAATTTAACCTTTAAATACAAGGCGGGGAAAGCCAATCTGGGTATTTCTCAAATCCATAGCTGAAATTTAGGATTTCAGTCATTACTGGAAATAGGGAAAAGACTTCATCAGCCCACCGGACTCAATGAGCTGGGAGTAAATGAGGGAGCTGCCCAGTCCGCTCCCCCAGAGCCCGAGGCGGGTGCTCCCGCCCCTGCAGCAACCCGCCCGAGGTGGGACGCGTGGCCGCAGGCGCCCAATCCGCTCGCACCCGAGGGAGGGTGGGATGAATGCAGGAGCAGTCCTTCTGATCCCAGGGCTGGCGGACGAGTTTTGTCCAGCGTCGCCTCCTGGAGCAAGGGCATGACCACAGTTTAGATGTCCGGAGAGAGGGGAATGCCCCGACCCTGGTGCCGAAATCCCGATTTAACTGAGCAAGGGCGTGACCACAGTTTAGATGTCTGGAGAGAGGGGAATGCCCCAACCCTGGAGCCCAAATCCCGATTTAACTGAAGGGATGGAGGCGGGGACCGCGGCTCAGGCTTGGGCGAGCGGCTGCCCACGCTCGTTCACGCTCGGCGCCGCCAACCCGGGAGTCCCCCATTCGACAGGGTCTGGTGCAGCCCCGGAGCGGCGCCCTGCGCCCGGTTGCCGTGGCAACGCCACGCGGCCCGGCGGTGCCCGCTAGCGCTCGGAGACTCGGCCACTGCCGGAAGTGACGCGTTTCACCTGCGGAGCGAGGGCGGGGTGGAGCGGGGCTGCCGAGGTGCCGCAGCTGGGAGCCAGTCGGGAGCGCGCGAGGAGCTGGGAGAGTCACACCCCGGGCTAGAGCCCCTACCTGCAGTCGCCGCCCCCGGCCGGGCAGACACCATGGCGCTTCTGCTGCGCTTCCTGCTCCTGTGCGGAGTCGCTGGTGAGTGGAGGCAACGCGGTCCCTGGTGTCCCCATTGCCTGGCCAGCCCGGGGGCGCTCGCTGCCTGCGGCCACCCGGGAACAATGAGGCGTGGAGGAGGGGGTGGGCGCGATTTGGGGACGCTGCGGCAGTAGTGGCCGTGCGAGTGGTTTTGCCGGGCTGGGTGCGCCAGCCGAGGCGGTGGAGCGCTGTAAAGGGAGCTTTGCGGGGGGCGTGGATGTCTGGGGCGGCGGCATTGACCGAACTGGGTTCCGAGCCCCGGGATGAGGGGCGCGGTGGAGGGGCTCCCCGGTGCGTCGCGGGTGGGTGGGCGCGGCGTGCTGGTCTGCGCCCGGCGTCGCTCCCACTCCATTCTTTGCGGCGGGTGGGGGCTTGGCTTTATTTGCTCTTGCCCTTCCCTCGTTAGCCGCTGCGTCGAGTCGGTCCAGGGTTACCGATTTCAGAAGCCTAGGGCGGCGAGTTTTCAGGTGTCGAGCAGCCCAAGCGGGGAGACTGAACGGCAAGCGCCATGATTAAATGGATACTGAGCCCGAGAGGGGCCACGGTACCTCTAGGAAAGAGGCGCTGAATGAACAGGAGCCTGCGCGCTCCGGGTCTGGTCGCAGGGGCGAGCCGGGCGCGAGCTGCTACCTCGGCGATAACTGGGCGAAGTGGGCGGTGAGAATCAAAAGTAGGTTCCTGCAAAGATGCAATATTGATTTAGTGCTGGACAAAGTGCAAAGGCGAAGCTCATATCCTCGATGAGGTGGTTCATTTTGAAGATAAGACGGGATGACTAGCACAGATCATTATTTCCGGAAGGGTTAGTCAAGTACATTTTTCAACTGCACCTTTCTCGAGATGGAAAAGAAAGCATTTAAAAAATGTGTGGACCATGAGAAGACAATTATTTAGTACTTGAGGAAACTGATTCATTTCAGTGGTGTCAGTTTTTTAACCAACTGATGTTTGTTAAAATAAGCATTTGTCTCATTCTATAACCAAATGATTCATGTAAAACAAAATCATAGGTGGGACCCTAGGAGGTACACTTTGTGTAGCCTCCGAAAGGATAATTTTTTTACGTGCTGTAAAGCAGGATCAGGTGGCCCTTTCTGTTGGGATGGCTCTTTACTTCCTGTTGAAATGTCAGTTCCATTGTTGGATGCCGCAGCTGTGAACATTACTCATGGGATCAACATTCTATTAACAAGTCTAATCTTCGATCTGAGTGTATAGCAGTGCCTCCACCTTTTTGATACATAGCATTTAGACTTGGCTGAAATATCCAAAGTAAAGCTTCTGGGAAAGATGAAGTGTCAGTAACCAGTTTACATGGTACATCCCCATTTTTGTTTTGTCCGGGGCTAAACTGAAGTCGAAGCTTAGAACACACAATGTTTGTGTTCTCTATAGAAAAGAAAAATGTTTTAGGCTGCATCTAAACCAGAAAAGTAGAAGAGCAAACCATGTAGGGGAATATTTTTCCAAGGGCATTTGGATAGTTGTCTGGATTTTTCTGGATGCCTCACTTTGGTAGGCACGATCTCAACCAAGGGTATTTTGATACATACAGAGTCTTTCTGCTCATAAAGTGTACAGTACGGTACAGTGAACATCTCATTACAGGACTGTTGTCTTTGGCTAAACAAGACAACTATTTTTTTTTTTTTTTAATGTTCCAGCTTAGGAGACAACTCAAAAACTATGTACTTGATGTACGGTTTAGAGTTTTTCTTCCGCTACTTCTTGCGACCGTAGAAGTGCATTGCTGTGAACTCAAGTTGAGTGATAGCATAATGGCAGAGCTAGAGCTGCCTCCGCACGGTTGTCGAGTTTTGTGGCATACCTTTTTGCTGGTAGAACTCTTTTTTTAATCCTCACCCAAGGACACTTTTCCATTTTTTGTTCAGATAGAGTAGGAAGGAGAGAGAGGAAGAGAAAGAGAGAAACATCGATGTGAAAGGGACACATCAAGTGGCTGCCTCCCGCAGGGCCCAACTAGGGCCGGAGGCAAACTGCAACTGAGGTACATGCCCTTAGCGGGAACCGAACCCAGGACTCTCTGGACCGCAGGCCGCCGCTCTAACCGCTGAGCCAAACCGGCCCGGCCAGTAGAACTCCTTTTGATGCCTTTTAATTGCCAACCTAGTAGCGAGTCATACTACGGTACTAGTAATGGTAGTGGCAGTGGTAGTAGAGCAGTAGCAATGGCGGTAAAATTAAAGCCGTGACTGAGCAGGTAATAAATACCAGGCATTATTCTTGGGGCTTTACATATACTCAATCTACCGATCAACACTCGAGGGTATGTATGATGATGATCCCTGTTGTACAAGAGAGGAAACTGAGGCTCAGAGTGGTTCTGTAACTTGCCAAGATCACGAATTTCTTTCTTAATTCTTGATCTTATAACTATGTTATTCTACCTCTAAAGCAGCTACTTCCTTTAAAAAAAAATGATTGATTGATTTTAGAGAGAGAAGAAGGGAAAGGGAGGGGAAGAGACATTTCAATTTGTTGTTCCATTTATTTGCATATTCATTGGTTGAATTTTTTTTTTTTTTTAGAGAGAGAGAGTAAGGGAGAGAGAGAAATAGAAACATCATGTGAGAGAGAACATCTATCAGCTGCCTCCTGCAAGCCCCCTACAGGAAATCAAGCCCACAACCCGGGCATTTGCCCTGACTGGGAATCAAACCGGCACCTCTCAGTCCACCTGATGACGCTCAATCCACTGAGCCACACCAGCCAGGTTCATTGGTTGATTCTTGTGTGTGCCCTGAACGGGGATCGGACCCACAACCTTGGTGTGTTGGGATGATGCTCTAACCAACTGAGCTACTTGGCCAGGGTATGTTTTCCTCTTTGATTACCTCTAATCCACAAATTTCTATTACTGGTTATTAGTCATTTATTAAGAACCTGCTGTTGGCGTGGCTGTGTGCCAAGTATGAAGGTTTTTGTTATTATGCCTTTAAGTCCTTTATCTTTTGTTGAAAACATGAGGACCCAGGGCTTAGACTGATGGTGTAGATCAGTGTGGCTTAGGTACCAGCATAGCAGCAGCCCCTGGGGATCTTGTTCAAGTTTGGGGTCCTGCTGCTTTTCACCCTGTCAGCATGAGTGGAAGTAAAAATGTGCTGGCCAGTGAGCCTGGTCTCCCAGCCACTTGTCAGCCATTTGGTGGCAGCAGGCCTCTGTCCTCTCTGTGTGCTCAGTGGTTTTATGGGTCAAGAATGGGGATTCCTACTGTGTCAGAGTTGTTGAGGAGCAAAGTGAAATGTTTACTTTTGCTTTCCGGGAGTCTTCCGTTATAGACAAAAAGAAGAGTATTAGATGTGAACTGCATTCCTCCAGTTCCTTTCTTAATATTTACATTCCTGCCATTACACCAACCACCAGAGCAAAGGTGAGCCACCCTGTATTGGCTCCTTAACCCATTTGTTGCGAAGACCCCCTCAGTGACGCCGTTTATCTCATTGCACTAGGTCAGAGGGCACAGGTGTCAACCTGTATTTATTGTTATAGTCCCTTTGGCACGTGGCAGATAGCAAGTGTGCAGCAAATGTTGCGTGACTGTAAATTTTCAACTTCTTTGCCACTGGGGCCATGTATATGATGTAGCTCTTGTCAGTTCCATTTTCTTTCTCTCCCTTCTCATCCAACAAAGATGGTCCTTATAGTGATCATTTCACTAGCCTGGTCTCATTCGGTGTTAGGTTAAAGTTATGCATCTGCTTTATCCGTGGCCTCATTGTTCTCTTCCACCCCCCACCCCTCAATTGCAAAGGTGACGATAACATATGCCAGATCCATTTATTTATTTTTTTGGAGCTCCTTGAACCTGTTGTGGTCCTACCCTGTTAACCTGTTTTACACTACTTTCTACATTAGGTCCCTTCAGTGTCTGCCTTCACCATGATGTGGCTCATAGTCTTCTTCTCAGTCTCCATCTTAAACCTGGGCGACCTTACCTGTGCATTACTGTAATCTCCAAATAGTTGATAGTGACTTAAAACGATTACCAGCTCAGCCTACTGCTCCTTTGAATTCCGGGCCTCTGTTTCCAGCTGCCTAACATTCCTCTTCCACCTGAATGAACTTTGTTACTTCAGACTCATCTGTTAATTAATTAAGTGATGCAGTCATTCGCATATTTATGGCCTACTATGTAGTATGCTTGCGCTAGGGGCTCTTACATTAGGGTAAGACTGCAAGGTGCAGAAGGTTTGATTGGGCCTCCCAGCAGATGGTACAGCTTTTGAAAGAGGTGGAGATCTGAAATGAAACAATGTGTCTCGGGAGCTGAGAAAATCAGTGCATATAAAGCATCTAGCCAGCACTTCTGAAACTTTTGATGTGTACCTGAGTCATTCTTATAGGAAAGTGTGGGGTGGGGCCTGAGATTTTGCATTTTAACAAGTTTCCCATGATGTCACTGTTGGACTCCATCTGGGATGACCTGGACATAAACAGTCTCTGTTGAAACACAGCAGAGTGGTGTCGGGCTTCCTCTTTGATCTGGAAAGTTGTTTTGAGGGAAATGCAATGGTACCTGATACCTGACTGGTTGAAAGCAGCAAGAAAAAGTTGGAGAGAAGCAGTAAGGTTTTTGGCTTGAGTGAATGCTGACATCACTAGCCTACAAGGGATAAAGAAAAGAGGAGCAAGTTTTAGGGAGTGACAGTGGACTGAAGTTGGAACAGGTTGTATTTGAGGTTCCTGAGGGGGATGAAGGTGATAATGTCCAGTAAGGAGATTTAAACAAAGGACTGGATCTCAGGGGAGAGTGGAGGATTGTTGATAGAGAACTGAGAGTCAGCAGATAGATGGCATCTGTGTCAGGTTAACCAGGAAAAGCAGGGGGTCCTAGCAGAGAAGGTGAAAAGTGACATCAGCTCTAGCGAGTGGACAGAGAAGGTGAACGATAGGATGACAGGGAATGTGGGAACACCAGAGGGTGAGGGACCTCCGATAATGACACAGAAATGAGTCTTACCATTAGGAGATTATTAAGA